TCTTCCCTGGGGATCTGAATATGCGAGATCTGAGGAAGCAGCAGCAACAAGAGCCCCAAAGAAAGGTCTGCTGCTGCTGCTGCTGCTGCTGCTGAAATAGGCACCCCACATCTGCTGCAGCAGCCGCACAGCCTTCGCATACTTTCCTTTGCTGCGGAAGTGTTTTTCTATGAGATCGCGCAGGGCCCTCTGTACAGACACCCCAGCTTTTGCTGCTGCTGCTGCTGCTGCTGCCCGCTGCTGCTGCTGCTGCTGCTGCTGCTGGCGCTGCTGCTCCTCCTTCGAAGGGGGCGCCTTTATGAGCACGCGCCGCCTCGCAGCTCGCTCCTCCGGCAGCAGAATCTGCTGCTGCTGCTGCTGCTGCTGCTGCCGCCGCCGCTTCCGCAGCAGCAGCCGCTGCCGCGCATAAACCCCGTCCAGCAGCCGCTCCGCCCTGGAGCGCCCCAGCAGTTGCGGGGCCATATTCTCTGCCTGGGCCCGCGCTGACATTCTAGGGTCTAGGGTTTAGGGTTTAGGGTTTAGGGTTTGGGTGGGAGGCGCGGCAGCTGCGCTGGAGGAGTTGCTGCTGCCGCTGCCGCCTCTGACGGGCGCTCAAACTCGCAGGAAGCAGCAGAGATGGCGAGCGAAACAGCTGCAGGAGCAGCAGCCACTTTAGCAGAGGCAGCAGCAGCAGCTGTAGCAGCAGCAGCAGCGGCAGCGACTGAGAAGCAGCTAGGAGTAACAGCAATGCCTCCACGTTATACAGACACTCCGCGTGAGCGACTGCAACAAACTTTCAAAATTTTAAGAGATTTGATGCAAGTTGCTGCAGTTGCTGCATTGTTGCTGGTGCCGCTGCTGCTACTGCTGCTGCTGCTGCTGCTGCTGCTAGTGAGCGGCTGCGGTGCTGCGGATCTGCTGCCGCATGCAGCACCAGCAGCAACAACTGGAGATCCACTCGTTATCTAGAGGCCTTTTTATGTTTTTTATTTTATTAGAACTCAGTTTTCATGTAATATTGTATTTTGGTGCTGCAGCTAGTGCAGCATCTGATAGAGGGCCTCTGCAGCGCAGCAGAAGGACACAGGAGGCCCTCGGCCCCACAGGGGGGCCCCCCCAGCCGCAGCAGAAACTGCAGCAGCTGCGGCAGCAGCAGCAGCAGCAGCAACGGCAACTGCTGCAGCTGCGGCGAAGCAGCGCAAGGCCCGTCATTTAGCAGCAGCAAGGCGCAGCATTTGCTTCTGCTGCTGCTGCTGCGTCGACGTTGCAGCAGCGCCCGATCTTCAACGCCTTCGGGGCCTCGACTCTAGGGTTTAGGGTTTAGGGTTTAGGGTTTAGATAATGGCAAAGAAGGTGAAACTGAGGGGGGGCTTTAGGCGCAAGCCAAAGGGAGGGGGATATCTTTCGCTGCTGAGCCGCTACGAAGCTGCTGTTGAGCTGCAGCAGCAGCAGGAGCGGCAGCAGAAGAGGCTGAAGAAGCAGCAGAAGGAGCAGCAGAAGCAGCAGAAAAAGGAGGAGAAACGAAGGCGCAGGCAGCAGCAAAAGGAGCTCCAAGAGCAGCAGCAGCAGCAGCTGCGGCAGCAGAAGAAGCAGCGGAGAGAAGCTGCTGCTGCTGCTAGGCAGCAGCCTCAAAGGAGGCTGCAGCGCCTGCTGCAGGCCCTGCACTTTGCCCCCGCCAAGGGTGCAGCAGGAGCTGCTGCTGCTGCTGCTGCTGCTGCTGCTTTTGTCCCTCCGTCTGCTGCAGCACGGGGAGTCCTCAGCGACGACAGCGAGGGAGAAGACAGCAACAGCAGCGCAGCAGCAGAAGAGGAGCTGCAGCAGGAGCAGCAGCAAGATGGCAGGGAGTCAGGAGATGCTGCTTCAGACTCGGATGTGAGTGCAGCAGCAGCAGCAGCAGCAACGGATGAAGAGACTGAGGCAGATGAGGACATATCCGAGGAAGAAGCAGCAACAGAAGAAGCAGCAGAATCAGAAGGAGACGATGCTGCTGCTGCTGCTGCAGCTGCTGCTGCTGCTGCTGACCCAGCAAAGCAGAGCAGGTTCACGCTCGAGGCCTTCGGCCTGGCGAGGGCTGCAGCGCAGCTAGCAGCAGCAGCAGCAGGCGCTGCTGCTGCTGCTAAGGGCGACCGGGCCCGAGCTGCTGC